ACTTTAAATTACACAAGTGGTTTTGTTTAAAAATTATATTATATGGGCGTTATCATAACAAAGAATCAATAGTGCACAAAACTCAAATCAGATTGTCTAAAGTTTGATGTGAGAAGAGAAACAAAAACTCAGGATTTTGCTCAACTGTGAAGGAACTGGAGATGTTATCTACAGGATGTAAGTGCTGCAACAGATAAGGTAGATGAGCTTGCATATGTTTGCATATTTTCTGAGCATGACTTTTTAACATAGCTTGTGATGCAGAAGGTGCTTATAGTGGTGTAGTTGTTAATGGGATGTAGGTATATCACATTCACACTAGATTAACTTGGCTCAACTTCTTGTCTTTTCTTTTCAGAATCCTATTAAATGGCTTTCTTTTTATTTTCAAGCATTAATAAAATATCAGTTTTCTTTCTTTTGTCATGTCCTGAAAGTTGAGTCATGGGGGGGGGAAAAAAAAACAGAAGGTTGAATAAAAAAAAGGAAAACTAGAGGAAATGTTTAGTCATCATTTCTCTGGAATTTCTCGATCAGTGACTCATAATTGGAATTTTATACTTCAGCTCAGGTCTACTTGTTGTAACAGGTTGTTCAGCAAATTCTCACCTAAGTTTACATGCATTGTGTTCTATACAGTTATTATGCAGTTAGCACACCGGGTACAGCTCATAATCTAATTTAATACAAAGTAGATTCAGGTTGTGTTCTATTGTCTTGCACTTTTACATTTTACAGTTGAAATTAGTGTTGTTGTTTTTTTTTAGCTCAGTTATTTTTAAGCCTTCTAGGAAACTGAGTGAAGTCTATAGCACTTCAGACTCCAGTTATGATTCCATTTTATGATCACACATTTTGATAACATGTTGATTTATAAACGGTTTCAACTATTGGTCAAAAACAAATTGTAAGTACTAAGTATTTGTACTCATATTAGTTTTAGTAACTAACACAAAGTTGCAGAACACAGAGTGCAAAAATGCCCTTCTGACAGGTTGTTCAAATAATACCTTGTATAAGGCAGAACTCACACATTCACCAAATACTTTTCATAAAAAGTAAAACATGACAATTAGCACATCTTAATTAAATCAAGTCCTATCCTTGTATATTCACTGTTTCTGCTGTTAGTCAAACCACACATCTGCCTTTTTTCCATGCCTTTAAGTCAAATGCAATCAAGCCATGACTGGTTTGGATAATTCAAATGTGGAGTATCATATATATTCATATTTAAAATCAAAAGTTTCAGTATCTCTACTGAAATCTATTCAAGCTTCCTCCACCTGACACTTCTCCCCCACATTTGCTCATTATGAAGCGTCAAAAATGGTTAAAATGAGTCACATCTGAGTTGATATGACAGAAATAACTCCTCAGACTTAAGAAAATGTGGTTCATCAGAGACATGCTGTGTATGTATAGCATAGAAAAGACCAGAATGACCTTTTCTCCCCCTTTGCTTCTTTCACATAGATTTAAATTGAGTCACACAGGACTACACGACTGGTAAATCAGAATAGATTCCTTATTACAGTCACATGAGCACTTAAGCTGTCGATTACTTTTTTTCATTAAAATTTCTGCATGAATTCAGGAGAAAAAAAAAAAAAGAACAAAAGAAACAAAAACATGTGCCGTACAGCCTGAGAGATATTGAAACTATTGACTCAGAGCTTTACTCAGCCCATATTGTAAACACCTAAAATAAACAAAGAAAGTAGTTGATTAGATTCACCAAACAATCGCATCCACTAAATGTAAAAAATACTTTTATTATAGACTCATACAGTAGTTACAAAATCCTGAGGAGCAATTGTGCACATAAGCTTGTCCGAGGCACCACTAGGTGACAGAACAGGATAAAATGGTGGATGCTACTCTGATCTGATAATCAAATCCAAAATATTATAAAGAAATGCTAAAACGAAATAAGAATAAATGCTTAAAATATAAAGATCCATTTGGTACAGTTGAGAAAAAAAAAAAAAAAAAGCTAAAACAGCTACAAATACAAAAAAAAAAAAAATACTATATTCTCTCTGTCTTAGAGTCATTTACATGCAGCTCAATAGTCACTGGAGCGAGTTGTAGCCTCCCTCAGTAGTGCATAATTCACAGAAAACAGAAAAAGCAGACTGACCTGCCAAAACAGTGTTTAACGTCACCATGACTCTTTAAGTAAACAGAAGCCACCAGCAGACCGTAAAGCTGAGGAGGCACATGTGGCTCATCCATTTAGTTTAGCCAATGTCCATGAAATTTAAAATCCAAGATAACAGAACAGCTGCCAGATATCGTCCATGTCTTCACGTAGAAGCTCTCTGATGTACTCTTACCCTCAACTTGTTGTGTTTTCTGGAGAGAAAAAAAAACCGAGAGAACAAACACAAATGAGCGTGTTTGCATGCAATAAAGCGGTGAAATGGAAACGGTGCTTATCAAGAAATGGGGCACAATTTGTGTTTTTGTGACGAGCTCAGATACAAAGTTCAGACGTGTGACCCCTAAAAGCAGGTGAACAAACTGCTGTTTGCTCGACTACAGTGTCAACAAGATCCAACAGGAGCTTCGGCAAAATCAAGTTTCAACTTGCATCCGTTCCTTACCGTTGTGGCGGTGACACCATACACTTCCACAGAATAGCATACAGTCCAAGCAAAAAGGCGATGAACAATGCGGCTGCAATGGAACCTAAAAAGCACAAAAACATTCATGTTTTACAAATTCATTCGTGTCATGCATTAGCACTTAAATCTCAACATAAACTAAGGGAACCATCGTACGATATGCTGCTTCTGTAATATCTGACAAGCATGCATAATTTGTTTACATGCTTTTATTACTGAATTCATCTGTTCTTAAACAGATAATAAAAAACGTGTTATATGGCTCTATATGCTCATATACACGATCCTCATTTCCCTATTTGCTTAATAGTATTAAAAGAAAGATTCACTCTGCAAGAAAAAACAAGCTGCACGATCCTGTTTAGCACTTCGTGCATTTCTTTTGCCACTTCTTAGACCTCTAATCTCTTGTGATACAAAGACAATATAAAGTGCAGTTATAAATTCTGGGACTCCACCCACAAAACCTGAACATCGATGCTGTAATTCCTTATCTGACTCACGATCCATCACAATTCACAGGTTACTGCAGTGTGTCAAGTACACAAAGAACTTGATGAGTTTTCTTGTCATTGGTTGGCTCTACTTCACAATGAGTGTGAATAAGTGAAGGACCCTCGCAAACAATCATATCAATTAAATATATCACCAAATAAAAGTGGTTGAGTTTAGGAATATTATGATTACAGAGACGCACTTAACACATCAACATGTCGCAGCATTGACCGTATGACCAGATCCTAATAGAATGGTGACAGGAAAGTCACAAAAAAAATAAAATAAAATAAAAAAAAAAAAAGCTGTGAAATGACAAATATAAACTTGACCTTGAGGACAGTTTGGGTGAAAACCCTTTAGCTGGTCGGTGTGTGTAGGTTTTACAAAAATCTTAAAAATACTCTAGAAGTGTCGATTCTTGTAAACTGTAAAAAGATAGATGAAAATAGCTTACCATAG